CCAATTGGGGCGGGTCAACCGGGTTCCCCACCGGATCGGGTGAAATTTCCATGTCTAGTCTTATGTTCTAATCTTAGGACTCTTATCGATAATAAAGTTAAAACTTTGGTGATTAACCCTACAATTTGGATTAAATTGGTGTCTTTAGAAAGTATTAGTTTTGTATGGAGGGTTTATATGGGGCGTATTCCTTCGGTTGTAGCTCTTTCTTATAAAAGCATTGGCATTGCTTCTACTTCCTGCATTATGTGTTCTAGTGGGGTGGAAGACGTCGACCATCTTCTTGTGGATTGTTCTTTCGCTTGTGAGTCTTTGCTTTGGATTTTTAGATGGTGCAACATCTCGGTCCATATTTTTTCCAAGGTCTGGGACTGCGTTGATTTTGAGGCTAACCGGGAAATTGTCCTAAGAAACGGAAAATTCTTGTTATAATCTTCTATGGTTTCCTTTGTGTATGTAGAAAGCAAGAAACGACAAACTTTTTTACAAGTTACAATTTCTCCTCCTAAATTGGCAGATAATGTTTTTACATTAATCTTTAATTGGGTTATGTTTAGGGAAAAGTTAGGAGATTGTAAATAAGGTGATTGGGTTTTTTCCCCTTTCATTTTGTAATTTCTTTGTTTGTTTTTCGCCCAACATTGTTCTTTTTAGGCTAGTTTGATAATATTTGTTTTTGTCTAAAATAGCATTTATTAGGTATAGCACCTCATAATTGTATTTATTATGTCAAACACCTCATAATCGGTTACTCATGCCATGTTCAAAGACGCACTGGTATAATTATGATAAGTAGGATGTCACATAAGTAAAAACATCTCACACCTAATACAATTCACAACTTAAAAGGGTTCGATTATCCATACAAATATGTTATATAGCTTTTTCATCAATAGAATGACAACATCTTCAACCAGATTAAGCTTTAACCGGGAGTTCATGATGCAAGAACAAGCCTGTCATCAGATGACGATGTGGTGACATTTGTCCAATTTTGATTTCAAGAACATCGAGCAAATCAAGGAAAAAGGTTTTGGGGTTTCCTTAAGTTTTAGGTAACAATGATGTAATTTCTACTACATTCCTTAACTGTGATATAACATGGCTTATTAGGATCTAGCAGCTCACTATGATTTCTTTAAATAAGTTGATCTTCCAAGTACATGTGATGATGGAGAAGATGGAAAAACTTCAAATAAGCCCCTAGTTCATACAGAACAGAGAAAAATGATGGCATCGTTGCAGATTGTTGTAGGGTTGTTTGTGGTTGTTTTTATTAATGGTTGTATTAGTAGTTATTAAGATGTAATTTTCCTTAGGTTCCACTATATTATGGATTTAAAGTGTAATAGTAATGAACATGTTTTGAAATGGAAATAAAGTTTCCTAAAATGGTAATGAGGTTGATTTGAAATGGTAATCTAATTTGCAGCAATGATGTAGCACCATACAAATTAATACAAAGTACATCTAAGAAAGTCATTTTTTTAAAACTACATAACAAGTAGGTGTACATTTATATTAACATGGTGGTATACAAGCAGTTGTCATAAGATCATGTATACAACAAAACATCTAAGGATCAAGCCGAGTATTACAATCATTCTAAAGAAAAATGCAGACTATACATCTGACTTAAATAAAAAAGCATAAGCAATGTAAACACCTAAAAAATAATACAATATATACCCAATGTTTTTTTAAAAAAGGGAATAAAAATGAGTAGATTTACATTTATATTAATTTTACACTTACAAGTAGTTACCAAAATATCATTTACACTAATTAGTATCCGGAGATCAAGTCATGTATTACAATTATCTTACAACAAAACACAAAACTACACATGGAGCAAGAGATCATATATCTCTTAGCTATAGAGCTGGCAAAAATCGACCCAACCTACCAACCCAACCTGAACTCAACCCAAAGTTAGCAGGTTGGGTTGAGATTTTCAACCCATTTAGGATAAATGGGTCAACCCATCTAACTCATTTAATTAAATAGGTTGGGTTAGGTAAATGTTGTCAACCTGTTTTCAACTCACCAACCTATTTAACTTTAATATATATTTTATTTAATAACTATTTAAATATTACCATGTATTAATCTAAGTATTAATTTATAAATTACAATGGTATATTATTATTATTATTTATGTTTTAAAAAATGCAATCCTAATTCCTAACTTTTTTCTTTGTGTCGACAACACTAGTCACTCTTCAAAATCATTTCGAAATTACATATCTTTAATGTTATTTGAACAATTTCTTTGTATTTGTGAATTAGGATTGTGCTTTTATTATATTGTGAAAGTATATTTATGTTTGGAACTAATTTAAGTGGTGTAATCTTCAGTTAATTTATTTACTTTTTATTTTAAAAGGGTTAACCCAACTTTAACCCATTTATTTAATAGGCTGAGTTGAGAATTATATAAACGGGTCAACCCGTTGACAACTCATTTATCTGAAAGGTTGGGTTAGGTTGGGAATATCTACCCATTTAAACAAAAAGGTTGGGTTATGTTGAAATCTTCAAGCCAATTAATAAATGGGTTGAACCCGAACCCAACCCAAGTTGACCCATTGCCAGCTCTACTTAGCTACGATCTTACCCCTATCGAGGTATTGGTTCCTAAAAGGCACACCAAAAAACACTATTTAAGCTACAAACGCTTACTGAGTAACCCTATCATTGTATACAGTAATGTTCACATTGATAAATCATGAAATTAAATCATCAGCAACAAATAATAAATCACACAAAGCCTTTCAACCAATACATTCACTTTAAAGTCATTATGGTATTATGAACACAAAGGCTACCATTAATTTATAAATTTCCAACGATGGTATTATGACCACGAAGGCCACCATCATCATTTAATAATTATCGACCCATGGTAGTGTGGTCACAAAGGCTTCCGCTGTGATTTAATAATGTCCACCCATGTTATTATGACCACCAATGCTACCATTGTAAGCGAACATTATATACCATGGTTTTATGACCTTTAAGGCTACCATATTTCATTATCCCCATCTTATTAATGTCTTTCTCACAATTAAACAAAAACCATAAGGCATGTCTAATTTACCAATTCCCAATATGGGGAAACACCTAGTTACTAACCTTTTGATATTATATATAGTTGAGTTCCCGATCCTTAGAGTTCCTTATAACATTTAGTCTCCAAAAATAATAGTTTGAGTATAAAAAATCATACACAATAAATTTCTAAACACATGTATATCTCCAAGAGATTCCATAATTGACTTGTAACATCCATTATTCTTACATAGCTTGATATGAACTTACTAGTTCATTCCTTAACTCTTTTCTCATTACAACTTACATTTAAGTCCATCCATGAGTATACATGCCTGATTCCATGTTACTAAAAACTTACTTCAAGATAGGGTTTAACCCATTATCCCCAGTTTCAATATAATAAGAATTCTAATCTTATACTTGGAATTTTAAGCTAATAACAAGTATTCAACACTCTACTTGTTCTAATACATCAATCACTTCATTTTATACAAACATATAGAACTTAACGTTAAAAACCCTTTCCTCAATTCAACCATGAAAGTAAGAATCATCAAGAGGATAAACAATCTTACCATGATTTGAGTAGAGATGAACAACTTCATGTATTCTCCTTGATTTCCTCTTCAATTCTGTTCAAGTTGGTGTATAGGGGGCCTTCATAAACGGTTTTCTTTGATTTGAGGGCACCTACAAGATGTTGGGAATGCATATAAGGAACTAGGAACCGACTAACCTACTTTATCCAAGCTTTTAAGAATTCAACCGCAAAACACAAGCCATGTTTTCCAAAACACGGTTGTGTTCTAGCCAAACATGCATAAAATAGAAATGTAATTTATTTAAACCCATTTCATAACCTTTTATTTCACTTCGACTCCAAAATACGTTCGTGCTTTGCATTACATAGCTATGCTTTTGCCTTAAAATGCAAATTTAGGCTGTATACTTTGACTAACTTAAGCCTAGTTCAATCTCCAACTTCAAATGTGCATATATTTCTCATATGAACTCCATTTTAGCCGATTCCTTTGCTTACATGTTCTATATTGTAATCTCTCTCTCTCTCTCTCTCTCTATATATATATATATATATATATATATATATATATATATATTCCTTATTAAATCGTTTTGTCCCCCTTTTTCGAATCATACATATACTGAAACATATATTGATGTTTAGGGTTTTTAGGTTTTTATGTGTGTTACAAATGTATTGTGTAAGTGTATGTAAATACAATTTTCAAAAGCTTTTATATATATATATATATATATATATATATATATATATATATATATATATATATATTCTACCTAATAAATGAAAATAATTTTGACACATGTCATTCTCTCATGCAATACGCCACATGTCATTTTGTCATAATTTTGAGATATTTATTTTCCACTTGTCATTTACTTCATTTTTTATTTTTGAATATATCATTAATTTAGTTTCTATAAATTAAACATACCATAATAACTATATTGATTTAAAATTTTAAATTTCGAATTTCAAACTTCAATTTCAATTTTAAATAAATTCACAGTTTAAACCTTTGTATTTAACATTTTGTTATAATTTGCACTTTAATACACGGGTTTAACAACTAAACACATAATTTTAATATAAGTTTTTCATATTTTTTTAATGTTTTTTTTTCATAATTTTTATTTATTTCAAATTTCAAACAAATAAACTTGCCGTTTAATCATTTGTATTTAATATTTTGTTTTGATCAACCGTATAGTATACAGGTATCACAACTAATACCTTAATAAGTATTTACCTTAAAATGTTGAATTTTAAAAATTACATCCTCTTATAGAATATATACAATGACTTTATGCATTGGTCAACATTTGAAAAGTCAAGATAAGAATTAACAAGCTTATCCCACGCTTTTAACTAGGTCATATAATAATGAGTCGTGTTGAATTTAGCCTTAGATCTTGGCAAAAATCTCTCATTTCTGGCCCATCTTCCCTACAACAGACGCCATCCATTTTTGGTTCTGTTCTTCCTTTAAGTCAAAAAACCGTCGTCCTCTTCCATCGTCCCCACCATCATCGGTCTTTTAGGCTTCTTCTACCACCATCTCTCTCTAGAAACAACATCGCATAGCGCCACCATCACCAACTAAACACTATCTCGGAACCCCCTCCCCCATTACCTTCAACCACCATCACAGAAAAACCCCACCACCGTCGCAGCTCTCTGGTTTGTAGGGTTATTCAGTGAACGTTTTGGCATTTACCCCATTAAACGGTTTAAATTGTTACACCAGTGGATGGAACTTCGTTGTAATTCAACACATAAATGTAAGCTTTCTCCCTCCCTCTCTCTCTATCTATCTCTCTCTTTATCAATCTTAGAGTCTCTCACCTTAAACAGATCTAGCCAAATTTATGAGGAGGATGCTATCATCTGGCAATGCTTGTGCGAGAAAACTTCAAGCTAAGTCTTAATGTTAAGAATTATTGGTGTTATTCTTATATATATATATATATATATATATATATATATATATATATATATATATATATTTTAATTACGTTAAATTTTGTTTGTAACATGTATTTGTGTATATGAGCTCTTGGCTAATGGTTTCACTATTCTGATGTAGGATGTTTCATTTTTTTGACTCTTCAAGGGAAAATGAGTTGTTTGATGATCAATAGAATCAATAAGGGATGTAATTATCTTGTTATGTGGTTCCAGGTTTAACACATCCTTTTGTATTAATGTACATGTGTTCTTGCATGTCTGGTAACAATTGTTTTTGACAATCTCCCCACTTCTGATTTTAAGGTTTTCTTTTTGTTTTTGGATATTGATTTTCATTTCATTTTTCTTGGGTTTCTTAATTTACCAGTCCCTCTTCACTCTCTCTTACCAATGCTCTGACTGGTGAACAGATATGACGACAAGGCGATAACGGCACCTTATGTTGACCTCTTCACACCTAAGCTCGAAATCAAGCTACACGGGCCTTCAAACCAATCGTGTGCTTTAGTTGCATCATAAGTTCAAAGCACTACATCAGGGGGCAAGGTAAACTTTTGACTAACAATCTAGACCTTTGAATTGACACAACCACACACATGTATCATTTGAACTATATGCTAAGCTCTAAACTTGAATTATGATGTTTTTACAGCATACAAGAAGTCTTGGGAGGCTACGTAGTGTCTTCCATTTTCTTCTTTGTTTTTAATACAAAGATTAGAGTAATCGTATTAATTGTATATTCTTTACTCTATAAACCAATTTTTAATCTATTTTTTTATTAATCCTCCAAGATTCTACTTGGGAAACTTGCATCAGTAGAGCCAATGAGTCTCACCCACCAAGAAAAACATTCTTTCTGGGTAAATGTTTATACTTTGTGCATAATGAATGTAAGAATTTCCATTTGTTTTTGATAGATTTGTTACAATATTGAGAAAAACTAAATCTTTCAAATCATGCAAGTTATCAGGCATTTCTTGAAAACTGAATACCATAAAGTCCTAAAATGGTATGCACCATCTTTCTCTTTTCCTCCCTCTTTATCTCTTTCTAAAAACCATATTTCTCTATATGTGACCACATTAATCTGTCTAGCTATATTCTGTGATGAAATGTAGAAGTTTCCCTTTGTTTTAGCTAATATATATGTTAAACTGTCACTTAATTGCAGTTTGTTTCTTTTAAGAAAATCATGGTGGCAATAACATTATTGAAATTATAGGTTTATATGCTTGTATGCAATGCTTTTGTAGCATCTGGAGTTAGGGCATACCTTCAAATCCTGTGGTACATCGGAGGTATGCTGACTACTTTTGAAACCTATAAAGAGGTAAATTAAGTTCATGAACTTTTACTGACAACTTTGAATTTGTGTTGTTATTCTGTTGATGACATTTGCCCTTCAAAAAAGGGGGCATCCATTGGATCTTTGGTCGAGTGTATGACGTTTCTCAGTGGTCTAAAAAACGTATTATACGTCACTTTTTGTTTGCATATTTTTTGACCCCAACATATTGTTGGTTCTGGTTTGCTATAATACACATTACAAATTTTAATTTAAGTTGGTTGCTTATATGCAACATACGTACCTCTTTCTACCATTAATGACACATAACTTTTTATTTTACCCATATAGTAACACATTGTTGGTTTTGGTAGAAAATGTAAGTTGGTTGCTTATATGGGTAAAATATAAAGTTTTGTACCTTTAATGGTAGAAAGATGTACGTATGTTGCTATATGGGTATAACATCAGTGAGAAAAAAAGATTGTAAGTATGCTAATAGGGTTCATCCATCCTAATCAGAGGAACATTGATTTTAAAAAATCCTTTTACTTTTCATCATTCAAAGACTCTATTACTCATTAGTTATGGGACTTGGTGGAAATGACAGAGGTGTCTTGATTTACACAAATTAGCTATGTTTCTTGAGTGTATGATTTTTTGATTCAGGAACATTGAACTTTTTTTTTTATATCGTTAACCTTTTCCTAATGGTGGATAAGTGGATTCTTAATTGAAGGAAACCAAGACCACTCATTTTGCTGATTCCAACATTTGTTTGATAGTTGAGATCCAAAGGTTTTGCGTATTATCCCCCCATCTAAGTGAGGTACTTACTTTTTCATATATTCACTTTTTTCATCCCTTCTTTATGAAATATACTTAAGAACCCCTCCTTTTGCATTCTTGCAACAACATTCACAAAGTTTCTTTAATGGTGTCCATGCTCTCTAATTACAAATAAAGCTCTTAACTTAATATTTTATGACACATAGCTTACAAGAAACAAAATACGGTAACACTCTGATCCAATCTATGTATCTCACTTCAATAACAACCGGTTTTTTGGGCTAATTAAACCGGTGATCTTACCGGTTCCTGGTTTAACCGGCCGGTCCGGTTTTCAAAACAGTGGTTATAATGATATGATGGGCTAATCATGCCGTTTTTTAGGTTAGTTTATCGAATTTTATACTTTGAATGGTTTTTTAGTTTTATATGACACTATGGTGTCTTGATAGTTCTTTGGATCATTTGAGAGAAAAAATTAATGCTGATTTACTTGATCATTTAGTTTTTCAGGGGTTGTTGAAAAAAATGTCATAATTAACCGAGTCTTGATGAAATTAATTCAATTTTATGTTACTTTTTAGGGCTCGAGATTTATACTATTTATCTTCTAATACAATTTTTGTTTCAATGAACTTTCTATGTAAACGTATTTTAATTTATTTTATGCTAAAATGGATTGTAAATGTAAAGTTAATTTATTGCAAGTTTGGTTTTTGATTTTTTTTACAGATATATATGCAAACTGAAAAATCACAATATAAGATTTTATGTTGAATTATAAATAACTGATTTGTTTCTTTTATTTAACTTTATTCAAATAGAAAAACAAAATTCACATTTTGAGTCATAAAATAGCTAAGTGGGAAAAGTACATATTTTATGTTATATAATTGCGTAATTAAAGAAAATAATACAGGATTGTTTATATTAATAGGTATTTTGACATTACCTAAAAGTAATGCTCAACCTTTAAAAAATCAAAATTCATAAAAATTGGTTTCTTATTATCACATAAGATAACTGCGAGACTTAGAAAGTAATTATATTGTTATAACTAAATAAAAGATAAAAGCTCAAACAAAAAGAAGTTTATTATATTGTTATAACTAATATAATAGTATATAAATATAAAATAACTAATAACAATCTTATCTATTAAGAAAGCAAAAATAAATACTAACGTTGGTTCAAGAAGGGATAATGAATAAAAATGCTAACTTTTTTCAAACAATTGTTTGAAATCTTTAAATACAATGTTTAATCAAAATGAAAAGGTAACTCAAAAATTAAATATATTAATATTTTAATCTAACACAGTAATTTCTTTTAACTCTAACCAGTAACAACGTTATAAATATCTTTCAGTAGTAATTATAATTAACATTGTTTGTTGTTTGAAATATAATAAATTTTCGATAACAAACAAATCACAGAAAGAAAATTATGTATGGAAAGAAGACTATTCGTCGATAATGTTTTACACACTTACCATCACATCGCTTGCTGTTTGGAATATAACATGTTGCGAATGTAATTAATTGTTCCGACCATCATACTTTAATCGTTGTTTTGTACTTATATTTTTAACGCAAAACAACATACTTTTATTTTTAACCTAAAATTGCAATATATTTTTATTTTTAGTTCAAATAAGTAACAAACTTTTATTTTAACCTAAAGAGTAACTTATTTTTATTTTTAACCCGAAAATAATACGCTGAAAAAAGTTGTAACAAGAAAGGGAGATGCTGGGAGAGACTAAGTCTGGGCGATATGTTATAACGAATTAGAAATAATATACTTTATGACATAATGAATCTAGCATATGAAAACACCTATGTAACATACACAAAATAGAAATAATATATTTTCAACACGATGAATCCAACATATGAAACACCTATCTAGAATACACAAAAGCGACAAATATATTAAAGAATACATTGTCAGTTGAAAAGAAAATAAATTGTTGAATTGAAACTAATGATGAGTGATACTTGCCGATACATTGTGGCTTGCTTTTAATATGACATATTTCCTAAAGCAAAATAATCGATTAATTGAAACTAATCGTTGTTCGCTGAAAAGAAACAAATTACCGAAACAAACTATTAACACCCGTCGCTTAGCGCAGGTAAACGGCTAGTATATATATATATATATATATATATATATATATATATATATATATATGGTTAAGTTCATATAAGACAATGATATTTTGTGAGACTAGGGGACCAAATCTTGACTACTCATTTTAAATAATAAAAAGTTAGGATTAAATTAGATTAAACCACAAGGAGGCAGTGTCATTTTTCAATTAAATGAAACTTTGGGATTAAAGTAAGGACAAAGAGGTGGTAAGGACATTTTACTTTCTATTCGATTATAATTGATTCACGTCTTCAAAAATGCTCGACAGTCTCCTCAATCTTCATTACGTTGATTCATTCTATTCGATAAAGCCCTAAAACCCCTAGATCATCATTTCAAATCATGAATTATTGAACGAAGTAAACAATCAATTATTCATATATCATGCCATACAAATAAACTCTAGTAAACAATCAGTCATTCATATATCCACGCACTACAAATACAATCTATAGAACAAGAATTAGATATGCAACAAACATCATGCATATATCAGTTGTGTATATTTTTCTTCCCAGAGTCTTTGAGTTGTCCTCTTTTGCGAAATCCTAGACACATACCCATCCACCAAGCTTCAATAATGTACTCTGGTAACAATCTTGCAAAAGCCCACAAGATCGAATGTTGCCAATAAGGCATGCATTGTGGTTCATAACCAATAAAACGTATGGCAGCTTGAGCATAAGCATCTGTTGATGCAACAAACAAGGATGCCCTTCTACGTGAAGACATCTTTGTTGCCACATACAAGGGTACCTATTAAACATATTGTGCACACAATCAATCAGAGATCTAACCCCACTGTTACCAAGTCAACCAGTCATCGAGTGCCAATTAGACTCGTGAGTGATCCAACCTCACTCAAATTCATTGAGGTCATCAAGCATTATGTTGACTAAAATAATGGTAAAGAAAATTAAATCTTAGTTAGTTTCAAAAGATTAGCATACCTGACACTGCACATCGATACCACTATTCTTGTATTCGACATAGAGGCACCTTGAAAATTGATTGATGTATCTGAAAGTAAAAAAAAACAAAAAAAAGAACCAATGAGTCATTCCAACTAATGGAATTAGTCCCTTGAATGTTTGATTCTTGAGCATCTCTATTCCAACTCAAGACCCAAAATTCGTATGTTAACTTCTTTTCAGAAATACATAACCACATATACATTATGCAAAACAGTTCCCCTAAGCATATAAAGTAGGAGTGTTCGTTTGGATGGATCGGTTTGATCCAATCCAATCAAATGAATCCAATTTGATTTCGGTTTTCAAAACATGGATCCGAATAGTCCAAACTAAATTCAAATCCGATCCGATCCGATCCAATTACAATTCAGTTGGATCGGTTTTTATATTTCGGTTTTTAAAAACTAAAACATTTTAAAACGACATATAATTATAATATTACCGAATTTTACACATGAAGCAAAAAAAAAAATTATTTAGTTACGATTTGAAATTTATAAACAACTATTAAGAATGTATATTATATTTTAATATTTTATAGATAAAAAAACTTTTGAGAGAAAATACATATTAATATTTTTTATTAGGTGAAACTTTTTGAACCTATTTCAAAAAATAAATTAATAAATAGTTATAGATATATATTAAAAATAAATAAATAATAAAATGCTATTCGGTTTTTTTGGACTATTCGGTTCATTTTTTTATAAACCATAACCAATCCGAAATCCAAAATAATAATTCGTTTTTGTCGAAAACCAATCCAAAAATCCGATTATCCGA